GGTTGATTAATTAGGTGAAGCCCCAAAACCCCAAAACCCCTTCATTCAATGAATGAGAAACTTAACTAGATTAAGAAAAGAATAAATTAAGATTTTTAAATAAGCAAGTTATAAGTAATTGGAATAATTGAAAAAGAAATGAATTTTTTTGGAAATAATGGGCCAAAACCTAAAGATCAAGATGTAAAATCATTGATAGATCTAGGTTTCAAAAAAGAGCAAGTCCTAATTGCTTTAAAAACAACTAAAAATGATGTATAAGAAGCAGCAAATTTTCTATTCTAGCAAAGTAATAAAGATAGCTCTGAAAACATCTCAAACAGGTAATATAGGATTTGATATAATTTCATAGTCAGAGAGCAAATCAGTAGAAAAATCCGAATGGGCAATCTAAATCATAAAATATGTTTGATGTAAAGTTTAATAATTCATATTACTAGGAGGAGGAGTACTTAATGGCATAAGTTAAAAGAGATAGCCTTGAGCAGGCAAAATTAGAAGAGATGCGGTATCAGAACAATTAACTTAACTAGGAGCTGATCAAATTTGAGCCTCTTAATCCCGATTAAAGAGAAAGAATTGGAACAGAACCAGTAGGCTTGAAAAACATTGGAAACAGTATGCTTTAATATTTCTTTACTTGTTTTTTAGCATGCTATTTCAATTCTTTGATCTAAGCATATTACTACATACCAGATTTTGCTTAGAAAATATTGATCTCCGAAAAATTCATTAGTGACAAGCTATCTTCAAGCAATCTTTAGCGGCAGAAAGCTTGCGATGTATCAGCAAGATAACTAGCCATCTTATTTACAAAGATGGCATTGACTAGATAAAAATATAGTGAGCCGAGTGATGTATTGAAATCGCTTGTTGATGATTTTGGTCAATAAATACAATTGGGGGAGCAAAAAGATATCGGTGAGTTTAATCTAAACTTTTTGGAAAGAATTGAAGAAGGATTAGGAGAGAGATTATATGCGAAAAACATTATTGAAGATCGCAAGGATGAAAAAGCACAAAACTAAGAAGATAAACTGAATGGACTTGATCCTTTAAATCGAAAATCAAGCATAGCTGATGATACAACAGAAGTTGACTCAATTCAGGATTATGCTGATCTTGATTAGCTTGACCAAGAAATGCTTAAAATCCGCAATTCTGAGAGGAAAGATACAGATCTTTTGCTTAAATCAGAGGTCCTTTCAGATCATTAAGACTTCCTAGTTAATAATTGCAGAAAAACTATCTATGAGATGTTCTTTGGAAAGATAAAAAGCATTGTAAAGGTCCATGCTGATGACCAGACTAAGACAATTACAGAAAAGAACGAGAAAATGGGTCCTATAATGATAGATGTAGATAATTATTCAAACTTGTATGAGGCCTGGAATGCCTGCCACATTGAGTAAATTGATGATTTCAATTGTGATGAAGTTTTCTTTGAAACTCCAAAGGAAAAGCCTAGATGTATTAAAGAAACTTGGATCCATGATATACCTCAGGTACTAATGTTCACTCTTAAGAGAGTGAACTATGACTATAAGAAGCAGTAACTTATCAAGAATAACAAAAAGTTCGAATTTGAGCAGACAATTTATGCGGATAAGTTCTTACTTAAAAATAAGGAGAAGGATAAGAATCTTAATTAGAAAGTTGATAAACTTTATAGCTTGTAAAAACAGATCAAAGATTAGATTTAATCTCTTAAAAATAATAATTCAGGATTAGGACTGTTCGAAATTTTAGAAATATCCAAGAACTATATTCAAGCTTAGTCAGAGAAGGAAAAGTCCAAAGAGAAATTGGAAGAGTTTAAGATGGAAATAATAAACTAAGATGATGTCAATGATGATCATAGTGATACTAAAATTGCACAGGTTTACGAAAACAATAGCCCTCTACATTAAAGCTTGAAAGATATAGAAATAGCAGTTAATGTATTGAGCTTGTATTAGAATAAAATCTAGCAACAAATTTCTAAGTTAGAGGATGATTAAAAGCTTGTTGATGAGTAAATATAACTATAACAAAAGAGCTTACAGCAAGAATCTTTCCATCTGCATGCTATTCTTATACACTAAGGGAATGGAGATGGAGGGCATTATTATGCTTTTATAAAGGACAGGAAAACTGAGAAATGGTATAGATTTAATGATTATAAAGTCTCTGAAGAGACTGAGGAAAAAGTAATGCAAGAGAGTTTTGGTAATGAAAATGAAAAGACAAGTGCTTATGGTCTCATTTATGTTGATAGGCAACTTGCGAGAAATATGGATAGGACTGATATGCATGATTACAATAAATAACTCCAAACTTAAATAAGTTCAGATTTAACATAGAGCGTTATGTATCAAAACTAAATCTTTGAGAAGTAGTTGGAGTAGTCAAAGATTGTTTCAATTATCGCTAAGATTAAAGAGATGTACTCCCAAAGGATGGACAAAATCACATAGTTGGTAAATACAAATGATCCTGCTTTAAATGTAGAACTTATTAACATAAACTTGTATCTAATAAAAAAGGCTAACAAAGTTCAACTGGCAAAATGGCTAACATTGAACCAAATCTTCAAAGAATATCATCCAAAGAAATTAGATCTGGCTTAGATAGACAAAAACGATATGATCTACAGAAGTCTTGGCGTCTCATTTGAACCTATTCTAAAAAGTATTAATCCTCTAGTTAATGATGAACTTAAAAGATATCTTACTTCTTACAAGCTATAATCAGCAAAGGTAAGTTTCATATATTTTGATTTTATTAGGCTTGGATGTTGAGATATGTTTTAAAAAATCTAACTGAAAAAGGTTGGTAATAAGCAATTAAGATTATTAGAAACTACAAAGATAAGTTTATTAAGAATCAGGTGTTGGTTGAAAGCGACTTCGAGACTTCGATTTTGCTTGATGTTAACAGAACTTTTATGCTGTATTGCTGTCAATGCGTCAACCGACACTTGATGCTGGGCAACTATGATAAAATGCTTGAATTCTTAAAGATTGTTGTTATTAATTGTGTGCTAATCATAGACCCTAAGGACAATCACTTTAAGCAAGCTGAATAGTGTGCTCGATATGCATTTGAGAAAGTGAAAATGGTAGCTGACGATTCTACTATCGAGAAGTTTGAGCTATTATACCTAATCTTAGAAGCAAAAGATGAGAGTCTAATTGAGCCAGAGTATCTTACCACTGAAATTCCAAAGGTATAATCAATAAATTAATCATTTGTAGGAATTGGAGTAAGAAATTAAGAAAGTGACGACATTGGATATTGACACATTCTACGAAGAGGGATGGTCTTCTAAGAGTATTGCTAGATATTAAAATTAGAGTATCAAGATATTTAAAGAGCTTTACTTCCATGCAATCAAGATTCATAACTATATTCTTAAAGAGAAAAGATGCCTTACCATAGAAGAATGGACCAAAAGAGATGAAGAAATAGGAACAAAGATAACTAATCTTGTTAAGCCTGAACTTTAAGGAGGAGGAAATATAAAAGATAAATGAAGCTGTAATATCATAATTGGTATATTCTCAAAGAAGTTTATAACTTTAATTATAAATCATATAATTCTTATATTTCAACCTTTTTTGTTGTATAATCTTTTAGAAATAGTTTTTTCAAATTGGAGCCGCGGGGGTTTTGGGGTTTTGGGG